ACAGCTTTTTTTCTACTTTGGATTCTGTTTGAAAATACAAATATTGTTTGGTGTGAGCTACACGTTTGGAACACAAATCTCCCTGAGGAATGCTCCAATGACCTTCCGGGTGAGTTTTTCTTCCACCAACTCGGCTTCCTCTCCACTCCTCGCCATTGTGTCGGCCTGTGCACACAAGCTTCCTTCCGTTCCTTTCATTAAACAGCAATCTGTGCTGAAGATAGACCCTTAGCTCAGTGGGCAAGGTGCATGTGTGTATATATAAATTCCTGACATTCCTCGAGTCAGTAAATTGGTCCGAGTACAGATTCCGACGCTGACCCTGACTGTGACGCTGCTGCTACACTTGCTCAAATGTGATTAAGTTCCAAAAGTTGCAGCATTGGAAAAACATCTTAAATCCAATCAATGTGATCGGTCAAATAAAATTGAATGAATAAAAACAAGCTTTGCTTTGGATGTGACTGTTTCACTGCCGCTGTAACTCTTGTTGACCGATTTGCGTCAAAGGCTGAATTGGATGCCACATCGATGTTTTTTCAAGAGGACTGATTCCTTTCTAAGGATATCCGAGTCCATGCATTTTTTTTCTGTTTATATGGTGATGGCGCATAGCCCAATTGAAAGTAAAGAATAAGAATTGTGTAACTTGTAACTTGCAGTGTTAAATTCAGCTTTGGGCAGGTACTGTATTTACAAAAACTCATGTCCACTTCGATTTATGGCTTGGCCAGGGTGGCAGTAGGTTGCCTGACCTCTATCATGACCAAACATGCAATCAGAGTCCGTTGCTGCTCCCGTTCTCATGCATCCATTCATTCAATTCTTGTCTCTGCTGATAGCACGAATCAACAAACACACATAACCACACGCACACACACAAAACATGATGCCATTGGGGAGGCATTCCACAGCTAACCTGGCCTTGGCATCAGAAACTTCTTCATAAACTTCTTCCTCCGTTCTCCAGTTGTTGGTGAATACTCAAGAAATAAATGAAAACTTTATACATTTTAGCATAAATAATTGTACGTCTTAACGATGTTGGCTCTGGAACATTGACGAGACCTTTACTGTAAAGCAATAGTAATACCATGAGCATAGTTATGTTAAAAAATGTTAGGCCATCATTATGTCTAATCATCAGAGCATCCATCAAATTTCGATTGCACTTTTCCTCATTAGTATGGCCCTCTGTCTCTCATTTTGAGCCAATATGGTGGAGGCAGAAGGACACTCCACGATGAGGTTTCTTTCGAAGAGGGAGTTTTTTTTACCTCCATCACCTTAATGCTGGCTCGTGCGGGGTTCAAGGCCTTCTCCATATTTTAAGTGCTCCATTGGTACTGCATGTAAATTAGATTGATTTGCCTTAAACAATGATGGCAGCAATAAATTGCAAAAGTAGTGCCATAACAGAAAGTACTCCCTTTTTTTTAATGCAGTAATGCAAGGCATTTTCAAGGCGTTTATAACTGGGTGTCACTTTTTAACTTTCCCTGCTTTAATTGAATGTTGTTTCTTAAAAGAATATAACCTGTCTTGCAATATTGCAATTTTGTATTTGAAACTTTACAATTTTTTCCTCAATCTTGGTTTCACCAATTTTTTTTCTTGTCATTGTGAATGCTCTTCGAAGAGCGCATTTTTGACCCCAGCGTATACATATTCAACACTAGTTTGCATCTGGACTTGGTCTGGGAGCCTTATAATGGATTAAAAAGCCAAACAAACAAGCAAACAAACAAAACAATGGCCACTACATGGCAATCGTCAGACACATACACACACGAGATTGTCTGCCTCCGAACGGTTGTGACCAACGTAGAAATGATGTTTGGGTATTGTGATGTTTTTTTTATCCATGATTGTAAAGGTCACATTAATTTAAAGTTCATTGTCAGAGAAAGCCCACATTTTTCAAATAGGCTTTACACAGAGTTTTTGACTGAGGTAAAACATGTGGAGCATAAAGTCACCTAACGGCCATATGAATCCGATGAATTGACGGATTCTGCCCAGGGGAGCATTTTTCAATTACACAACTTAATTGAACCGCCGATGTGCTGAATGGCAGACAAACATCCGTTTTCTCATGAAACTCGACTCATGCTCTCTTTGGTACCACAGATTCTAGACTTGTTGAGATTCGCTGTATTGAGGCTCAGCTATGTCGACAGGAAAAAACAGTCTGACAGAAGCAATGGCAGGGATAAGATAATATCCTGGAGGAATTAAACCTCTAACCTGCACTTGATTAACTTCTTTGACCCCAATTATGTTGCTGTTTTGCTCTCATGGTTCTCTCTTCAGCTTCATGAAAAATGGAAGCATAAAGCTATCAGTGAAGATGATATTTTTCTCCCACTGGTCTTCTCCTCATGTTGTGTTTTCTCAGCATCCCTCTGTCCTCATAATGCAAGGGTGGCTGCACATGTAAGACATAACTTGTTTTCCCAGTAGAATCCGAGCAGGATATGGATCAGTGACAGGTCAGGAGAACTCTTCTCTACCCTGCGTTCCTCGACATCTTGGGAGCATCTGGGCATGGTTATGTTTGCAATTGATTCCCGTACAGGAAAGTTTCCCTGAGTGTCCTCATGTGAATGCATCATGCCTCCAATATTATGCGAGCCTTTTGAAATGTTGCTCCCATTTTTGTAAGACGGAGGAATGTCTAAGGTCAAACACAAGCGATATATAGGTCGAGATTTTACGAACGACAAAGTCACCTGTGACCTGCCGGTGCAGCCCATTAGCCTCTTTAAGCTCGTGGAATCAAATGCCAAGTACGTTAATCTTCTTGTAAACACTTTTGACATGAGAACTAATGAGTCAATCAGAGGCAGAATAGGGTGAGTCATTCAAAGGAAAATATTGCGAACACATCAGGTGCCGGTGCCACCTCATTTGACTGACAGGTCACTTAATGTCTCCTTAAAATATGCATGATTATTAGAAATGCTCACAGTGGAACCATGAAAGCCACCAGGCCAGAAAGAAATCACAGTCATATACGCGGTAAGGTCATTTACTCACAAAAGGGGGGTTGCCTCCTGCCGGACGAGATCATCTGCAGTACACTTGGTCTGTGTCAAGGACTCAAGGCTACTGCTCAAACGAACAAGCTCGCGTTCATGCTATCCACCTTTTGGCACATGCTGGCAAAGTGTTCCCCACTGCCACAGTTCGCTCAATATACCCACTCCCTCGCCCCCAAAAATAAAATCCACACCTGCGGAAATGAAAGGTGAACAACTATCAAATCAAAAACACCACATCGGTGGCACGCACCACCCGTGGTTCAATACACCAAAATGAAACCACAAACTAGTCAAAAAAGTCGAGGATATATAAAAATTGATCAAAAAGACACATGCTGTGGAGAAATTATCCACAGGTGGTTCAATACAACAAATCAAAACACCACATCGGCAGGAAATGCCCGAGGAGGACATAATTCTAAAAGAAATACACAGGCCAAGAAGAAAAATGACACAGGTGTTACAATTACAACAAAACACAAGAGCAGAAAACGCCAGAGGTGGACACAAATATCCAATCAAGTTATGCAGTTCAGCTGCTTGTGGACGGTCCAAACCCAGCGACATGTGGTGAGCTTCTTGACTGGTGTGGCACTCTAACTCCTCTGGAGTCAGATATACAAATATGAACCCAAATTAGAAGATTAGCCTTTATTTAAATGTTGACTCTCATTGAAGCATATGGTTCAAATAAGGACAAAAGCATTTAATTACAGTATGTTTCAATCAATTCCACAATGTTCAACAATGTGATATGAAACAAAACAATATTTAAGATAAGGTCAAGTTCATTATTGTTGGTTTATTGTTGTTTTAAACAAAAAAATCCCCCCATTTGGTCTATTTGAAAATATCTAACACGATAAGTAGTGATAATATTTATCAATTCCGTTTTTATGGTGACTCAAAATTAACAAAATATGAGCTTTAAGGAAACGCTCATATTTCAAACGTTTTTTTTTTTTTAAACTATAACAGTGCTTAGCACTACTCGAAGCTCGACATTTTCTCCCTTTGTTCTTGGATAGTTCCTGCCTGCAGCACCAAAGGAAAGATACTGTGCACTCCTCTTCTGTCCACAACAAACCCTCATCATGAATATTCTTTGTTGTGATTTAGCCAGAGGTGTTTCACAAGGTTTGTAGTGTTGCCACAACTCCTCACCGTTTTTTTCCAAAAACGTCACAAATGGCATCTTGGCTGTTTGGAGCTAAAACAAACAAACAAAAAAAGACTCACATGACTCCTCCACATGCTCTGCCATAATGCGATTGTCAAGAGTCAGAGTGAGACCGATTGCCTAATTGAGCAGCGTGGTGTGCTGCCGAGCTTACACATTACGCACTGACCCAAGTAGAAGAAAAGGTAGTTCCGACCATCCTCCCGAGGGTCGCAAGCATGCTGGAGCCTATCCCCGCTTTCTCCGAGCAGTAGGCGGGGTACACCCTGAACTGGTTGCCAGTCAATCGCAGGGCACAGAGATGAACAACCTTTCGTGCTCACACTCACACCTAGGGACAATTGGAGCGTTTCATTAACCTTCCATGCATGTTTTTGGAATGTGAGAGGAAACCGAGGCACTGTAAACTGCACTTTGTCATGCCGCCGCACTTTAGACACTAAGAGCTCAGTGCAACTGATCAAGAACCCTCTGACATGGCAGTGGGAAACATCTTGAGCATTAAAATCTACAGTCCATGAAATGTAACGATGTCCTCCCAACAACACTGCAACAAATGACTTATTTCCTTTCTTTCAGTAGTCTCAGTCCAGCTTTTTTTACCCCACTCTCATCCAACTCTCTTTTCCAGGAGTGAGGTGTCTCCGCTCCCAAACTCCTCAAGCACTCTGGTACCCGCCGGAGGGATATAAATAGAGGCAAGAGGGAGATATTTTGACACAATCCCGGGAGGGGTAACAGTGGGAAGTAAGAAGCCAGTAATGGGGTAGAACTGTACACACACACACACACACACACACACACACACACACACACACAGGTCAACTCAACTCAACTGTATTTATAGGTCACAGGCCACCATTTGCTCAGCTATTCTTGTTGACGTTTTTTTCCATTTTGACAGCACGCAAACCAGGAGCAGTTAGGTTGTGGGTTCGATCGTGAGCCTTTGTGACCATGTCGCAGAGTCCTTGAGCAAGATACTTAAATCCCAAGTTGATCCTGATGCTGCGGTAATATTGGTGAATGAGCAGGTAATATTAAAAGCATCTTATAGGTGCAAAAGTGCTCTTCAATGGCAAGCTTGATTCTTGAGATTGGCAGGGCACTGTTAAGAGGCTTTTTTTCTAATGTAAAAGCAAATTCACTGCAGACTTTTTGACCACATTTAACGTGCCATGTCAAATGGTGTCATAGTAATAGGGCAACAGCATGAATTGCAATAAGGTTAACCTGTCACCTTGTGACATCCAGCAAATTAACAAATGACATTGTCGAATGATTCAGACTTCACAGTAAGTCGTTTCTGGCAGTCTCCTCAGAAATGTTATCGAATTGAAGATGGAGAGGTTTCAGACGTGTGTTATCCTTCACATGCTGATTAAGATGGGCAAACTATATTTGTTTGAGGTCCTTGAAATGTTCAGTACTAAATCATGCAGATTTCTTTTTCTGTGCTTTTAAGGTTTTTCCTGTGAAGACTCTTCATTGTTAGTAAGCCTAAATATTTAACCTAAGGAAGTGTCCACTCTTAGCTATTTGGGATATTCAAAACAAAGACCTTTTCCTGCAGCACTTAGTGTGCTGACATAACAATACAAAGAAATGTTGAGTTAAGCACAGCTTAAGTGTCCCAATAAACAATGTTTTTCTGTCTTAGGTTGTCTTGTTGTGCAGCATGATAAGTGCATGTGGTTCAAATGAACGTCAGTGACGACAGTTTGACAGGGTGTTTTGGCAGTTTTTCGTCCGACTGACATCAGGTGACAAGACCTCTTATTGACGAAAGCCGTTGGCAGCTCAGCATGTTGACCATATCTCAGATCAGCTTTTTTTTTCTTTTCTCACCTTTACAGAAGTTAACTATACACTGAATGCGGCAAGTTTTCTGCACTCGCCAGAATGCGAATGTGTGGGAATCCACCTCCTCCAATGCTAAAATTAACTCAGACTTGACCTCTGGAGTCTCACTTCTTCTTCTCTGTTTGCTCCGTGTTTTATCAGACATCAGCAGAAGTTGCTCAGGCATTGATTTGTGAGACACTTTGGCTTCTTAGGACCACTTTAACAGCGCTGAACCCAAGTTTGAAGCTTTATCTCTACAGAGGTGTAACAGTCTCAAATTTTCTACTGGACAGGAAATGAAAGTAAACAAAACATCTCTCCAGTTAAAGTTTGCGGCAGGAGCTCGAGATTAAAACGAGGACACCATTGCTGGTTCCACAAAATAGCAACCATTTGCAGACCCAGTGACAGGGTCACATGGGATCTGGCCTGAGTTTTTCATTGAAACCTCCAAGGATTGTTCATCGAAGTCAGAGAGTGAACCACATAGAAGTTGGTTATGAAAGGCAAAATGCCCGAGGTTCCCTAAAATGAAAGCTGACATCTCTACACATTTTCTTGTCAACACAGAGATCCTGAATTGTCCCCAGACACATTTATACAGGGACCGAGACCTATTATTAAACTACCTCCATGTGAACATCTCATGTTCTTTCGTCCCCTGCATTTAGGGTTGTCTCATTTTAACCTCACCGCTCTTCTGGTCAGATGCTTTGCGAGGAGAGAAGTCCAAGGAAGAAAGTTCGGAGTAAAACGTTAAGTTCAGGCGAAGTCTGAAACCTCGAAACAGCAAAGAAAAGCCGATTAAAGCCAATAGATTGTTAATATTACATCAGATAAAGATGTAAAGATGATGGTTAGGAAAGAAAGAGAAGAGGAAATCATACATTTTATTACAAAGTCAACTTGAATGAAAATATAATTTGAAACTTGGTGGCAATACCATTTACAGTATTTCTTGCAATGACAAAACATTCAAAACTGATTTTAATGCATCCTATCGATAGTTACCAATTTTTTGGTCTTACAGTAAATAGCTTTATTTAGAGAGAGAGAGCGAGAGAGAGAGAGAGAGAGAGAGAGAGAGAGAGAGCTATTTACCCTATTCATATAAGCCATGTTCTTCATTTTGATATTGATGTACAGTTTACTGTCTGCATGCTGTTATTTTATTTTAGCGTATTATTTAGTGCCCTACGACAGCCTGGCAACCAGTTCACTGCCCGAAGACAGCTGGGATAGGCTCCAGTATGTGAGGAAAAGCGGATTAGACAATGGATGGATGTATTATTTATAAGGTTTCTTTTTTCACAATTGACCGGAAGGGAACTTGAAGGTTTATCGAAGTACTCGTTTACCTTCCGGATTTTCAAGACAGGGAAGTTGAAAATAGATGACACATCATGCCACTGTGCCGGGGAAGATAGGTTGCCTCATTTCAGTGTACTCTATAGTTATACAAGAGTCTCCACATGCGTGCTATGTGTTATTTATTCCTGTCCGTCCTCAGCCAAGGTAAGTCAATATTTGATGCTTGTTGTAGCTCTGTGTAGGTGTGCTGTGAGGGGTTCACATTTCAGAGCTGTGATCCAGTGTCGTCCTATGCAGTTCACGCCGAGGCTCTCAAAGTCAGTGGTCATGTAGGGCACAACGTCACAATGCCCTGCGCCTACAGTGCCCAAGCTCATGGTCTCTTGAGCTTCTGTTGGGGTCGAGGAAAGGTCCCCACTTTTAAATGCTCAAACAGGATCATCTACGCTAAAGATGGGGTGGTGAGCTTCATCAGCGAGTCCAGGTATAAGCTCCTGGGCCACCTCAGTGATGGAGACGTGTCCCTGACAATTCTGAATGTTCGACCTGGTGACACTGGCGTGTACGGCTGCAGGGTCGAGATACCAGGGATGTTCAACGACTATAAAGTCAACATATATTTGGCTGTGGAGGAAGGTGAACATGTAGCTTCTTCTGTTTAAGCACTGCCACTTGCGGCTTCATTTTTTGTCTGTCTCTCTCCCTTCTGCTTTGCACAGCAGTGGACATAAAATGTGGTCATGAAGATGTTCATATGGCTTTTTTTCTCACATTATTTCGAGATGGACTGTGTAGAGTCTAATTTTTACGAACCTCTAAAGTCCTTTTTTTCATGCAAAGTAGCACAGTATAGCATAGTACCTTTTAATCTTAAATCTATATATATATTGCCCTGCGGTTCAGTTCACTGTATGCATGCTGTTTTATCTTATTTTATCGTATTATTTTGAGTCCTGGGATTGGCTGGCAACCAATTTAGGGTGCACCACTCAATTTGACATATAAATTATCTTTTAAGGTTTTTGAGAATGTTGAGTTTGACTTTTTTTCCACTACCTCTTTGCAAATGTTTTCTTCCGTGTCTAACAGATCTGATAATATTTTACTTTTACATACATGATCAATTAAGTAATTGTTAAATGTCGAAGCCTTTGTCTTTGCACCGTTCCATTCTTGTTATTTGTGTTTTGCTATTTCCCTGTGTTTGTTTTTAGGCCTTACAAATCAACCTTCTCCTGCTGAGCCATTTTTTTCTTGTTCTCTATTTCCACAGTACCTTCGCAACAACCTGTTACTCAGGTCAGTCTGCCAGTGACAGCTAAAAGACAACAAGGTGAGCACAGTCAATCAGGAATCATTGCAATCAAAGAAACATTGATCATTCATCGGCATGTGCCATCTTCCTTTCAAGCCATTTCAGCAGTGTCTGAATTCGAACATGCAGGAGGAGATGATTTGACATTAAACAGGAAAGGCAGAGCTGAGGTATGACTCTTTGGGTTTGTGCTTGTAAGGAAACGTAACCGGAAAACATCAGTTGGGCTAAATATTGCAGCACGCATCATACACCTTACAAGTGAAGATTTTTAGACTTTGCAACAAGCTCTATTTTATAAATCATACCTAAAATTTAATATACAATGTCCACACATTTAATAATTAAGAACAATGATTGTAATTTAAAGGGCACAAAGCAGTTGTTGCAGGTTTTCACCATAAGATGTCACCATATTTACTGTACAGTATTGAATTCCTTTTGGCAGTTTCCTCCAATGATTTGGTTAACTTTCATTGCAGGAGGCATCCAGAGCATTCCAGGAAGTGGGCAACATTTGCAGAATCGCAGCAATTGTTTCTCTTACTGTGCTCATAATCCCAATCTTTATTGCTTGTGAGTATCACGTGGTAAATGTAGTTTGTAATATGTCTTGTAGATGAAGGTCAGGCCATTTGACAGAGCTAACAAATTCCTCTGTTTATTTTCTCACAGCAGAGAAACGACCTCGGCCACTTAAACACCTAAAAACATCAACAAGAGAGAATGTGTATGAAATGATCTAAAATCACTTGCTTTTGCTCTTCTGTGTCTTTTTGTTATTTTAATGATTAAATACAAAGAGTAAAAACAACATTCAAGTCGATGAACATACGAAGCTCGACAGAAAAGCTGAAGGACTGCTGTACCGTACATGTCACCCCCAAACTACAAACTACGAGTTTCCCGCTTCAGTGTGGGCCACACTGCGAAGAAATTCTGCGATATTTTATGGAGTTGAAGAGGCGAAAGTTGTGGTACAGTAACGCCAACGGCTGTCTCGCCATGACAACACGTCTGCTCACAATGCCCTGAGCATCCAATACCGTATTGGCCTGAATATAAGACGGTGTTTTTTGCATTGAAATAAGACGTGGGGGTCGTCTTATATTCGGGCTCTAGACATACCCATTCACGACGCTAGATGGCGCCAGATATCATTGAAGCGAATGCTGAACTTGACTCCCCAGGCCAAAGTGAACCCCTGTCACGAAGAATAAAAATAAAAATAGCGATAGCACGAAGAAGAAAAATAAAAAATAGCGGTAAGAAAGAAAAGAAAAGAAAATAATGGAAGAGCTAACAGAAAATGGAGAAACGTAGCGACAATCTGGAGAAAAGTGGGTCGAAGATCAGCCAAGTTAACCGGCAGCTGAGGAGAAGTTATGATGTAATTAACATTTCAAAAACCAGAAGCCATTCATTTACGAATGTGATTGCACTTTAGTTTACATATAACATGTACATAGTTTCCATATATTAGTTTACATATAAATGTAATATTACATTTAAATGTTCAGATATTAAGATTTGAATGAGGCAAAATAACATGCTATTTCTCTCAAATATATTGTTAGAATCATTTGTTTCAGATGTACTGTAATTATTTTCTGTGTGTAATCTGGTATTGTTGACCGATGCAGATCATCTCCCTCTTGTAGCTCTATGTGGCGATGTGCTTTGTGGGTCAAAACAAATAAAAGAGATGATAAACAACACCTCTTGTCTCGAATGTCTTTACGTTATGCATTATCTCACCTCGCTTCTCATTTAGCCTACATAAGTTTTTGCAATGCGTTTCATTCAGTTGATCTTGCAGCCCTTTGTGATATCCTACGCCAACCTGCAATGACAGGCAATGAGTTGTCGTGCATGAGCATTTATGCTATTGGCTGTTTATTTTTGGATGCCAAAGAGGAAGTGTTGTCTTGGGGTAACTAGACTTTCAGCTAACTAAAAGTCACATTCATCTGATCGCCCCTGAACAACTCACACTCTCGACATTTGAGTTTCATCAGAAATCTATTACTTTTAGGAGAGATTGATTCGTGTTTCTGAAGCTAGAATGACTTTCCCTCTTGATTTCCATGTAGGCAGCATGGGTTCACTTTCCACTCCGTCATGCTGTGATTGTGAGTGTCTCTCCAGGTCCCCGTGATTGACAGGCCGCCAGACTAGGGTGAAGTCTGCTTTTTGCCCGATGTTACAATCGGCTCCGGTTCCCCATGTGTCAGGAAAAAAAATCTGCCCTTGCACTCATGAAATGTATTCTGTTTTAACTATAACCTGAAATAATCCTGCTTGAGTGTGAGGATAAGAAATTTGACCGTGTTTCTCTCTCTCTGATAATATATTGTCATTTCAAAGCAACATGGCAGTGGTTGGCAGGCGGCAGTTGTATGGGGCAGATGATAACTGTCTGTTCATGTTTGTATATTGTATGCATGACTTGCCATTAGGGGAAATAGCCAGACACTTCTTGGGAAATAGCCAGACACTTTTTAGAGCCAACAGGTTGTATTGGAACTCTCTCCTTGCATGCACGCTTCAATTAAATTGCATTTTTTTTTTTTTTTTTGTGCGTGTCCTGTCTCTTTTCTACTTAAGGGTTAAAGTCGTTCCCATGACACTATGATCCTAAATAAAGTAGGCAGTGTAATAAATGGATGGATTGCATGGATGATTACCGTTTTGTTTTTGTTTTTTGAAGGACAATCTCTCCCATTCGCCCCCTATTCTGTACGAGGGGTGTTTTTGAATGGGCGATCAGAACAGGCAAAGGTTCTGGAACATCACGTTTCCTGTGTTTGTGTAATTTATTGTAAAAATGAAGCAAAACATTCTCATTCCAAAATAGGCTTTCAGAGTTGCAATTTGCAAAATTGTGTCAAATGGCCTCTTTGAGATGGATGGGCGCCCACGGAGCAGCCAATGCGCTCGCTGAAATTTGCAGCTCCTATTTCAAGAATGACTGATTGATTTCTGATTTGAGATTGCCTCATTTGTTACCACCGATGACAGTCAAAGGGTCACATTAGCTGAGCTCCAAAGTTTGTTGATAAGCTCAATTCCGTCTATTCATCACTTTAAAACTGCTTGCCACTTGAAGGAGAAGGAACCAAAACCACAAAGAAGGAAGCAGACCTCTTCCACATCCCACCTTGGCCTGCAAAACTGTTTGTGTGAGCACATCGAAGACACCAGCATGTGACTTGGAAACTTGTTAGAGCTGCAACCTCTCTGCGGTCCACTTTGATGCCCAGCAGCAGGTGAATGAAGTTCTTCACTGAGCTGATGTTACCATGACTTACTTTGTCAGTAGATACTTCAGTTTGTGTTGCATCCTCTACCTTCTTCTAGGTAAGAAGAGAGGTATTGGGCCGATCAATATTGTCGTGCGTTTATCATGTTTCACTCTTTTTTTTGCCTTTGCAGAGTGCAGCTTTGCAGTAAAGGTGGAGGTTAAAGTTGGGGCAGACATCACTTTAACTTGCAAGTACGACGCTCGCTACTATGGCAAGCTGTCAGTGTGCTGGGGTCGAGGGTCTCTCCCCAGCAGGGGTTGCGCCAACGAAGTCATCAAGACGGACGGAACATCGGTCACCAGCAGATCTTCAGAGCGCTACCTGCTCATGGGTAACATCGTGGAGGGAGATGTGTCACTGACCATCAGACAGGTTGTGGAGAGCGACTCGGGTGTGTACGGCTGCCGTGTGGAAATCCCAGGCTGGTTCAATGACCGCAAACATCAGATGAGCCTGATGGTGGTTCCAGGTGAGAGCCAAATTGCTGTCGATTGTACTGTGAAGTGAGGAGGCAAAAGTACTCACACTCTGTACTTCAGACATACTGTATAGTTGCTCTGGTACAGACATAAAGGTACTGATTCAAGTCAAGTTGCATTTATTTATAAAAAACCGATATAACCAAAGAGTCTCAAAAGGCTTCAGAGTTCGCACACATCAATAACATACCCTGGTCTAAACAGCTCATCCAGGCATGGAAAAAATCATAATCACATGATATTAAATACACGACGATTCAACTCCTTTACTGAAGTAAAACATAAATTAAAATGACTGCCTCTGAAATGTATTTCAGTCAACTATACAGCACCTTTTTGCACCTTTTTAATAAATTAGTGTAACAATAAACTTTGGCTCACAAAACAGTTGACCTCTTTTATCAACTTATATCATACAGAGGTGAAAAAAAAAATAATACTGGTCACGCTATCCAAAAATCCATGATTGACTTTACCTCTTTATGTACCTGTTTACCTGTTTTATGTTGCATAGTTCAGAAAAGAATTTTGGACAAAGTGAGGTTTAGAAAGTATAGATATCCGTTTTCAAATGTAGGGAGCAAAATTAAAACTTTGTCAGAATATGAGCCTACTAAAGCACAGTGATTATTTTTACTGAGTTTCTTCTGTCTTTGAACCATCCTCGAAGACCACCTTGGTCAAAGAAAGGGTCAGAAAATGTGTGCACCGTGTAGCTCTTCAGCCAAAGTGACGACAGCTTCATTGTGATTGCAAACTTAATAGCAATTCTACCTCTTTAGCGCAGCCTGATGCTCTCAAGGTGGAGATGCAAGAGGTCAGAGACAGAACTGTCACCGTGAGCTGGTCTCATGTGTTTGACGGCGGGAGGCCCATCAAGTCCTACAGGATTGACCTCAAGAGCAAAGAGGGTACGCCAAATCTTTGGAGCATATTTTTTCATTTCCTGAGGACAGTGTCTCGCTTCACACTTGTGTTTTTTTTTTTTTTTTTCCTGCCACACAGCTCTTTGGGATACCGCAGTGACAACTCACATGTCAAATCCAAACCTGACTCGGGTCACCCTTGTGGACTTGCGGCCAGCCAAGTATTACAGCCTACGCATGTTTGCAATCAACAGTCAGGGCATAAGTGATGCCAGTAATGTTCTCACAGTCGCCACAGAAGAAGCAGGTAAAGTAGAAAGTTACAAAGTAGCATTTTTGGTTTATTCGGGTGAGATTTTCTTCCGTTTTATATCACTGTTGTCCTTTCATTTCTTTGCTGCTTAGCACCAGATGGCCCGCCATTAGACATGCATCTCCAAGCGTACTCGTCCACAAGCATCAGAGTGTCTTGGAAGGTAGCTATTTTTGATCATTTATATACAAAAATCCCTCAACAAAAACAGTTGGATTAATGTAAAAAAAAAAAAAAACATCTTGAGTAAATTGCTACTCTTTGAAAATATCCCCATGGTTAGTTGGTAAGATTTTGAAGTCTCATTTTAAGAACAGTACTTGTCGATTCAGATTTGTAAAGTTGTTAACAACTACCTATGGTGCGTCACACTTTGATTACATTTATTTTCACTTTTAGAGGGACTTTAAACGTGTTGATAACGATCATGATTGTGTTAACTGTAGCCTCCTAGGGCCGACCTGAGAAATGGTGTTATACAAAGTTACAGCGTTAGCTACAGAGAGTACGACCCTGTCGGCAGACATTTCAAATGGTGGCAGCGGCAAAGTGTCATGGCCACAAAGCCGCAAGAGAGCCTCATACTGAGTGGATTGAGGCCTTCCACCCAGTACAGTGTGCTGATAAAGGCCAAGACCAACGCAGGACTGGGGCCTGCATCAGGCGCACCCCTCTGCTCCACTTTGGCTGAGAGTGAGTTATTATAGAATTTATTCTACCATAAATGTGCACTACTGTGCAAAACTCGAACGCATGGTTACATTTCTTTATTTTATGCAATTATACATGACTTTATACAGGTGCATCTTGATAAACTGGAGTCTCATAGAAAACTCTACTTCAGTAAAAAAGTGAAAGTGAAGTGAATGTGAAGTGAAAGTGAAAGAATTATGGACCTATTCTCCCATGTGCTTAATTCAGAAAAGTTGCATGGCTTCACACTTTCTCCCAGCATCTAAAAAGTGTCACTTATGCTATTTCAGTAAAAAAGTGAAAGTGATGTGAAAGTGAAAGAATTATGGGCCTATTCTCCCATGTGCTTTATTCAGAAAAGTTGCATGGCTTCACACTTTCTCCCAGCATCTAAAAAGTGTCACTTATGCTATTTCAGTAAAAAAGTGAAAGTGATGTGAAAGTGAAAGAATTATGGGCCTATTCTCCCATGTGCTTTATTCAGAAAAGTTGCATGGCTTCACACTTTCTCCCAGCATCTAAAAAGTGTCACTTATGCACCTTCATGAAATGTACGCACTCAGGGTGGAGCAACCTTAACATCTGGATGTAACGCTAACAAATCCGTCAGTGCCCACATTCTCTCAGACTTAAGTGTCTTTTGGCATCCGCACTCCGGAGGCTGTACTGAGGTCGAGCGTCTTTGAATGCAAAACATCATATTGCACGTTTTGAGTGTTCCTACTATGTTCCAGTGATAGCCGAACGTTGTCATGACATTTATGGTGAATAAGTTGGGGAGGACAATAAGGAGGAGGAGCAGTAATAATATAAGAATTATTATTATTATTATTTGGTGTTTCTTGATGAATAAAACTGCGTGCTGTTTCCCTCACAACCAATTTTTATGAACGGTCCTAAAATAGCGGTGATGACCTGTAATTTAGTGATGACGGAAGCACGGTTACATTAACAATTACAGAGTGACGGACTGACGATTGACATCCTCAGCCAGTCTGAAATAATGACCGACTGGTGATGATGGACTGGCGAAATTTACTGATGAGTCCATCACTGCCAATTAATAGAATTTTCTGTTGTTCAGTCTCTCTATTTGATAGCTTTCTTAACCCATGTGGCTGTGTTGTGACTAAATCCAAACTTCATGTGCAAAACAGTGCGATGTTTCGCCTTCCCTGGGCGCTAGACTTACTACGGCTTCATCAAAGTAGACAGGAAAGTGTACATTTACAGAATGTTCGTTTACATTTACAGATACAGAATGTGTATCTCGCATGAAGGTGCAGTCACTTTTTCTGACTTTACATTACAAACACTCAAATGATTTTTAACACCATATCGAAAATAATTAGGAATTGGCCTAACTTCTTTTCAGTTCTCCCAACATCCACCCAGGCAACAGTCAACACACTCTTCACCATTACATGGCCGATGCCAGACACCACAAGGTTCATCTCAGGTACTTATGACACACACTCTGTTAACAAATTGATGACGGGAAATGATAAAAATGTTATAACACAATTTTCCTATGCAAACCAGAAAAAAATAATGATGAAAACGTACAGTGTATGTGTAATATATTCTGGTAAATCACTATTATTAATGGGACAATTCTGATTATGACCATAGTAAACCAAGTTAAAAATAAATGCATAAACTATTGTACTGTGTTACAATGTTTTTCTGTGGCGAAACTTTTCAAGTATTTCCAAGCACGCTGCAGTTACATATTCTTTCTGGTAGAAATCTACGTGGCGCCTTTTTCTTTGTATTCACAGATGTCACAACTCCAGCAGCAAATGTGAATGCCAACACAGCATGGGAACAAAGCGCTACAGGTTTTTCCTCAGGTACCGCATTAGCCTCTTCTGCAGGAAATGGAATTCATGATCAGGCAGAGTAATTTGATTCAATCTGAATATATGTTTTTGGCCACCTGTGTCTTTGCCAGTTCCTCCAGATCCCCCTGTTGTTGAGTTGAAGGAGGTTCGAGACAACACAGTTTCTCTCTCCTGGACTCCTGGGTATGGCGGAGATGCCCCCATTTCCGGATATTTTCTTGAGTATAAAGCCTTGAATGGTAAGATATAGTATAATCAGTAAAATTACGCAAACAATATTTATAAAGCAAATATTGACCTTTTTGTCTATCTAAGTGCAAAACTGACTTCTGTTCCAACAATGACAGGCTCATGGGATGTTAAAAAGACAGTCGTGGACTTCAGCCCAAACCAGACAGAGGCCACCATCATAGAGATCAATCCGTCCACATACAACATCCGCATGTTTGCCAAGAGCAGTCTGGGTACAAGTAAAGCCAGCAACATCCTTACTTTCACAACTGGAGGAACAGGTGACAATGTGACTTTTTCTGACCAATGTTACCCATGTTGAATAACAGTTTCTCTTACGAAAGGAAAACTACTGCTTTCTTCTTGGGACTACTGGCGGATGCAAAAAAACGGACCTCTTCTGTATCAAGGAATATTTGGGAACAGGGGAAAAAATGTTTTAGCATTGCAAGATTTGTTTGAATTGTTCGAAGAAAAAGTTGTGATGTTACAAGAATTACATTTATTGATAAATTTTTCAAGAATTATGAAAACTACAAGAAAAAAATGTCATTTTCTAAAGTGAAAATCAAAACTCTCACATGATTGTGAATATTTAATGTCAAACTTGTCTATTACAGTGTAAAATTAATATTTTTTTCAACTTTTTTGTTAAGCAAAAAAAAAAACAACAACAAAACAACATGACTTTATTTCTGAACAATACAATTTCAAACCCCCAAATTTACTCTGTAATTTTCTTTGTGGCTTCCGCAGGTCACCAGCAGGATGTTTTCTCAACACCCACAACCATTAATACTCATGCTGCAGTAAGTATGAATCAATATATTTAAGTTTTACACTGTGTGGTCAGGCCTGGAGTGGCCCATCTGGAGCACCAGGAAATTTCTCTGTGCGCCGGGCAAGTTTAGGGTTGCTGAATGATGAGGTACCGGCCCGAGAGGTTTCATCTTATGGCCCGCAGTTTCATTGTGAAGTCAGCAAAGAAAGCCTTCAGTAGTCCTAGTTCATTGCAGGCCAATTGCAGGGCACACATAGACGAACAACCATTTGCACTCACAATCACACCTCGGTTCAATTTAGAGTGTTCTAATCACAGTCATAAGTGTTAAGTGTCACTTCAACAAAGCATGCTCGGCATGTTACTTCTCTAATGGCGTGTCGTGTTGCGTCGATGACACCAAAGCTAATAACCCTCTAGAAAATGCCACAAAGTGGTTTATTCTGAAACAGAAATATCTTTTTTTTAATTGTTAAATTGAAATTACCGGTAATCTTAATTTTCGTGTTTTGGTATATTGTCCTTACATGAGAAGTTTAGCTCAAGTAGTTTGCATATGCACAGTGGCTGAAAATTAGTCCTTGTGTGTGGTAATACAATCATGTTTTTAAATTGTTGCCCACTGTCTTACAAATATCAAATACAGTAAAATGAATAGCTAATCTGCATTGCATTGCCCCCTTGTGGAGTAAAAATGAATGAAGGACAGGTGGTTTTTTTTTTTTTTGTTTTTTGTTTTAAATCTTTAAACATGACCGTTTGTCTTCTAGACGAGCTCTGAGGACGGTGGAAATGGCCGCATTGTTGCCATCGTTTTTCCACTTGTGCTGGTGTTGTTGATTGTTGCCATAGTGACTACATGGCACCTGAGACGTGAGTATGCGAAATGAGCGAGAGATACAGTACTTCGGATCCAGCAAGTCCCTTTGATGAACTGTCCCGCGTGTGTGCCCTCACAGGAACGAAAGTGAAAAAAGGCAACCCCAGTCTGTGAGTGTCTGCATCGTAGTCACGAAATTCATTCTCAAAGACATGTTTGACTTGATCAAATGCGTTCTCCTTTACAGGTGGCTGAGCCGCGCGGCAATACTTTACAGAGGATCTGAGTCCATGCAGGAGCTGTGAGACATGCCTCTTTAAAAGATGTCAACATGAATACCAGCAATAGGAATATGCTTTCCTTTCATTTTGTATGCCTACTGTGAAACATGGAGGAGTATGGCTCATATAAATGGCTTGCCATAGTGGAGCCTTATCAGTATGTTACTGTGTCCCAGTATATTAGTGTGACATCAATAAATGAATAAATACATTGGACGCTTTTTATATTGTACCACTGAGGTCACAGGCTTGCAAGTATGTAAGTATCAATAATGATAATAGACTCGTGAAGGAGAAGCGGCTGGATGGATGTGGATAATGACAATACCGGCAATTTGTAAAGTTCATTTTACCAATAACCGATATGAATTGCCATGTTGTTGTATCTAAGCGCCAGCAGAGGGCGTTAAGGCCCCACAATAGAGTGCGTTGCAGTTTAGTCACCATCAGTGTCACATTCTCATGAGGAGCAACTGTTGCCAAAGTCGAATTCTATCCATCTGTCTCATAAATATCTAAATCGGCGGAGGGAATTTGATATGTTGGAGATTTGTGGTACTAGTGTGCCAGGATATCACCCAACAATGAGGGAGCGTTGGAGTGATTGCAAGTACTGTTTTTTTCAGCTCTTACCACATGGCACAATATTTAGTCATGGCTATACTGTATACGGAAGAAGAGATGCATGGATAAAGAAGCTGATCATATTATCCCTCCAGTTCTACAACAGACACAGGAAGATGCTGGTGAAGTTACTTATAAAACAAAGCCCATCACAAACTTCATATCTAAAAGCCAGCATGTAACTGAAGAGTGTGATTGTGGCCTATAAAATCACATTGTGGGCCGTATGCTTCTCATCTTTCGACCACCGTACTGCCTTTGCTTAAACCTTGCACAAACAGCAGGCTTCGTAGTCTTTTGCACCATGTCTACAACTGTTCTTTCATTTGTCTCTTCAAACATTCATTGCTCTGTGTGGCTCTTAATTAAATAAGAAAAAAAACAGTGGTGGTTGTGGGTGGGAATGGTTAGATTATTTTGATTAGGTTTTTTTGTTTTTTC